TATTAAGAAACTCTATAATATAATTCATGCAGATACGCGTTAATGATTCTTATTGAAATAAAATGCAAGTTAATATTCCGAATGTTCATTTAAATCTACGTTACGATGTATAATAACGTAGATCGGATGCAAATTTTCAATTCGGATGGCTGACAGAGCAACCCTCGAATTCCAGAGTTGCGAGGGCGAGCACGTTTCGCGATTTTGCCGGCTACATCTGCAGGAAACTCGATTACACGGTGGAAGGATGCTCACGGTCTACAATGCTCATTGAATTTGTCGAACGGGAATTATGTATTGCGTGGGGGATTCGATTCGTTTGTTCGCGGGCGCCCGCGCTTCCGAGGAGATCCGGTCGCGCGCGCGGGTGAGACGCGACTGCATTATAATAAAATCGCGATCACGATCGCGCGAGAGCGAGCGGAATGGAAGGCGAGCGAGAAAAAAGGAGGAACTCGCCCCGGGAGCGCATTATATTCGGATAAAATGATTTTATCGATCGTAAATGCACCGGCGCGACGCCAAGCTTATGAACGCTCAGATTTATATCCGATCGAGCTTTTTCTGCAGGGTGCAACAAAATTGTTTTGAAAAAAACAAAAGTGGAGGAGAAGGTTCGGAGAGAGAAAGGTCAATGCCCTGTAAAATTTTATAACTCTATCGCCGAGAGAAAAGAAGACGGGGTAATGTTCCAGAACACAAGACGTTGATTGGTGTTTTTATGCTCGGTTAGACGCGTCGGATAATTTGAAACAGATCGAGTTGAAAGTAGCACAAGACTTGTAAATTACAAAAAAGAATAAATAAATTTTTGAGAAGCGTAAAAAAAATTTGAAATATATTAGATCATCGTGAGGATTTTTGTATAAATAATTGTCGTGTTATATGCATAAAAATTCCAAATGTGGAACACGAAACGGTACGTGTTTACTGATATTTTATCTATACAACCAATTCCTAATCAGCGTACATTTCGCGGAATGCCTATGACGGCTGTTTTCTCTTATGCAACGGCGATTCGCATTAGTGGGACTGGTAATTCGCTACACAGGCAAAAATTGATTACCGATTGGATTGCGAGGTCAGATCCTCATTAACTGCGTTCCCGGCGCGCAGGAAGGGATAATTACGCAAATAACCTAACGCTGTAGGTCTCACGTAGCGCGGTCCGATCCGATAAAAATAATTACACCGTGATTACTCCACTCGATATACTGATTGAAATTCTCATTAGATACACGTGTAAAGTAACGAATCTCCGACGAACTCACAGTAATAACAATAAATTTCGATAACGTAACGATTAGTAATAATGCAACCGCTATTCTCTTAAAGCGTCTCATATATTTCAATCTCTCTCCTTCCACCCTCGACGGAAATTATACTTCACCTCTCGCGCGCACTCGTTCGATTTCTAATTAAAACGGACCTTTTATGGGCAACGCTCACCTGCCCATCCTCCCCTCCATCGCGATACGTTTTCTAACGCGTAATCATTACGGGACTACCTTTTCGATTTCCCGTAATACGACGCGAACGCCGAGGCCTCGCATTAGCGCGCTGGCTCTCTCTCTCTCTCGTCAGTATATAGTACGGCGGCAAAATTGATTACCAATACTACTGCAAGTACGGCGGCGGCGGCTCTCGCGCTCCCGTGTTCGGGCAGTAATGATGTTTTGATGCGAGGACCCCGGTGCACTGCGTATCGACTGCAGTTAACTAATGGAAGCTCCCCGATAATTGCGAATGCCGTCGGAGAGTAAATGCTGCTAGCGCGACAGTAATCATCGTTACTCCGTTCACGCATTCGCGAAACGATGAGGGAGGCCCCTTCTCACGCGCGCTTTTTGCCTCTCTCCCGTCGTGTCATCCCGGAAAGAATTCTTCTTTTTTTTTTTTTTTTTTTTTTTTTTTGCGCCAGAGATGTCTAATGAGACTCGAGTAAAAGTGGATCGGAGCGAAAGAAGCGGTGTAGAAATAAAGTACAATTTATTGTCGCGGCGATTCAAACATGTTATTTGGATAATTTAGGAGTAAAAATGTTTAATTTTTCACGGAAGAAAGTGTAGAAAAATTTAATGGCAAGCATATAAGTCAAGTCCGGAGCCTCTTACTATCATCCTTAAAACGTCTCTCATCCACAACGCCCAGGCGAGGTCGAGTCGATATGCTGTGTATCGCGCGCGCATAAGCAAATACAAGCGCATTATTCATGTATGCGCTCAAAGTGCACTAAATTTAGTCACGGCATACGGGAGGTCATGTGGGAGACACACGCGCCCCTAAGCCCAGCGCTGCGTTTTATGTCTTTTTCTCGCAGAAACGTGTCATATGTCGTGGATTTCCCCTTTTCTCGTAAAAAGTAACGGCGATACCGAGGTAAGCCCGGAACGTCAGCGATTTGTCAATAATTCTCGCGCGCGTCGCTCTTCGAAATTCCGTTTGAAACTCGCCGGCGATTTCCGAAGCGCTCATTCAATTCGTTCGCCGGGCGTTCGATTCACTTTGTTAATGGCTTTTCATTTCGAAGCGAAAACGACGAGTGAAAAAGAAATCGAATGTTTGATTAGGAAACGGAAAGAATGAGAGGAAAATTTTATTTTTGTATCGAGTGTATAGTTTGTATAGTTTCGAAATAACCGATTTAATGACATCGCGCAAAGTTTAAGTACGCGAATGGCGATGATGAAGCAACCCTGCTCGTTCTCCACCCTTCTATATACATCGAAACGCGTTCAAGCTTTCCCAGCCACAGGTCCGTTTCACAGTGTGTTGCGAAAGAGTGTCCCTCCCTCCTTCAGAGATTCATAATCAAAACTGCATTAAAATCCTGAAAGCCCTGACGACAGCGCGACGAAAAGTGTTTTGTCATCTGGGGTGACTCGGCAACCACCTCGATAACAATATGCTCGCCTCGTTTGCGATCCCTCTCGTTGCCACGAGAAGCGTACTCGTTTCCCCTTCCCACGATTCGCGATCGATTAGGTGACGATTATTTCATCAATGCTTATATTCTCGTGCTTCATGCTGGTGAATACCTTAGTGCTCTCAAATATCTAGAATATACATCGACAATTTTCTAACATTTAAATTTTCCTACAAAATTTATCGATACGAAACAAAGTTACTAGAATTTTATTGTAATAAAGTTGTCAAAATTCTCAGAGTTTTATCATGTATAACATGCTATGTTATAAATATATGTAAAAATTTGTTATCACATCTCCGTAATGTGGCTGGCTTAAGTTTTCCAATGGCGAAGATATTTTCGTTTATTTTTGCCAGGGTTGAACTCTTGGAGAGAAAGAGAGAGAGTTTGGGCAATCGCCCACCGTTTTCGTCCCTCTCTGCACATATCTGTTCCTCTCTGTCTCTCTCGCTTTCTCTCTCTCTTTCGCTTCGGTTAGGGGATGGCGCGCCATTGTTCGGGCGATATTTCAGTGGCGGCGGTGGAAGAGCGGGGGTGGTCGGCAGTAGTCAGCTGGCTGTGACACGCTGCCTACCTCGCCAAAGAGGAACCAGAGGCGCTTAGGAGTATCGGGGGCTAGAGAGAGGGGGTTGGGGGTCCCTCGACTTCGTACTCGCGCGGTGATACTCTTTCATCTAACAATAGCCGAGGCCTTGACTTTGAACTATCGTCGCATTGTAGTATATCTCTGTGCATCGCAAAGCTTTGTTTTGCATATTATTACTATATATGATATCATATTATGTTGGCTGTTTGCGTGACTACTTTGCGTGACTTTTGACTGAATAAGCAGATTTATTCGTAATTTTATCTATTCTTTGTGCTTTCTGCAAGGAAAGTTTGGAATAGTTATTTTCTTCTTTCATTTATTCGATAGCTCGATAATCATTTTTGAGTCGATCATTGTATAAAATCTGTATATAGTGATTTACCGCGCTTAGATACCTATTCGAGATCCGTGTTATCAAAATTCATGACTATTTCTACGCCTTGGTGCGCGCGTACGCTAATCGCTTCCGAAGAGTCCTTTGCCACCCAGTCAGTCGGACAAAGTTCCTTTGACTTACGGCGACTTGCCGAACGACTTTGCGGGCACCGTCTGCGCCTTGACTGCGACAATAGTGCCGCATGAGCATTCGAGCGGCGAGAACGAGAGACGCGATGAGAGTTTAATAATTATTATTCATAAGACTCTCCGGTGGGAGTCGGCCAGGCGTGAGACTAAGCAAGAAAGATGTGCTGCAAAACAAGAGAGGGTGCCTTCTCTCGCTTCCTCGAGGGGGGCTTGCTTATGTCCTCCTTATCCCTGGCAGGAGAGCCGTAGTATTCCACGGCGGGAAGGGGGTGTGCTCGAGTCAGTCGAGCAGAAACCCAATCACTTCCGGCGTCTGCGCCCATTAGGGCGCCGCGACGCTGACGTCGGCTGACGTACGCCCTTCCTCTTGGCGTCCCACTCGCTCGTTCTACACACTCTCTCTCTCTCTCTCTCGCTCTTCCTACACTACCTCTGTTCCTCCCTCTGCCTATTCCTATCTCACACTGTATTGAACCCACCCACCCTCTTGGACCTCGACCAACATCGAAACAGACCGCAGATCTATTGTTTGGAAAGCGCTCGCATGGAAGCTTCTTCAACGCGACTAATGACGTATCAAGACTGCCGCTTCCTCCTTACCGGATTTTTCCGGTTTTGCTCGCTCATCTCCCGAGTCAGTTGTCGTTCACTTTTTTTGATTGTTACGAAGATAGCGGATCGTGTCAAGTGAAGAAGCTCTCTTGATACAAGAGCACAAACGGTTGTAACGGGTGTAAAATATAAAGGAGATAAAACATTTTTGAGATTCTTGTAAAATGCCAATAGAATGTGATCTAATAAACAAATAAACTTTGCTTTTTATATACTGAAAAATTCATAATAGGAATATGAAAATTGAATGATTATGAAACTATATATTGCAATTTTGTCTTGAATGAAAAATATCAAATAAATTGATTTATCTTGTTAATATAATTCTTTTCATTTGTGTTTCAGGTTTATTAACGCGAGGCGTAGAATTGTTCAACCAATGATCGACCAGAGTAATCGAGCTGGTAAGATGCTTCCAGATCAGCAATCAGACGTTTACACATACAGTTACACACACGCATGTAATGTGCCACTTGTTCAGAATTTATCTTACGAATATAGTAATTCCGCTCCGAACTATCAAAATTATTCGAATTATTAAAATTATTCAAACTTTATGAATTAACATAAATATTATTATATATAAAATGATATATAATATTATTTCTTGTTACTAAATGTGTTGACAATATTATTTGTTTTAAAGACAATTTCATATTCAAAATTTATAAATATAATCAAATGTTATTTTTTACGCGAAAATGCATTATTATATTGAATATGATTTAATGATTCAAGTGGGAATTATATAGGATTAGAAAACGTGATTTCTGGAGTGTTGTCAATTTCTTAAGAAATTAAAAAGTAGAAAAATCAAATACATTTATCGTTAATTGGATAAATATATTAATGTAATTTGATGCAAGTTTAAAATTCGAATCATTCCTAAACTAATTGATTGTAGAACGTTTGTGCAAATGGATGTGCGTATTTCAATTCAATTTTATTCAGTTCAAACATAACAATAGATAGTTTGTAAGATCTATAATCATTTCCTAATTACGTAGACATAAAACCTAGCGAGGAAACTAAATCAACAGTTGACATTTTACAGATAAAATAATTATAGTTGACAGTTTAGCGTAATACTGTGCGTCCGTGTTGCTTTTATTTTTTGATATAACTGATCTTCGCAATTTTGGATTCTTGAAAGCATTCTTTAATAAATGAAACATTTCATTCGAATGAAATCTGTGGCGTCGTGCATATTTGTATATCCGCAATATCCGTCGTTTCAAATCAGATTATTTCGATTCGATTATCGGTCATTCCACGCTCACGATGGAAATTTCACTTCTCTCTTCCGTTCGTTCACGATCATGATATTTTATCCATCATTCTGATTTAAAAAATATTATTACAAAGTTTCCTTTCGTGTGAATGGCCGATAAAAAGCATGTACAATTAATGTTTCCAGAATATTTTGGTGTGTCATTTCGATAGAAAAGAAATTTTACTAAATTTTTTGTTAACATTTTTTTTAAATATAATTTCTGTTCATCTACAACACTCGATGCGTTTACTTAATATTTTTCATACGCGAAAATGAAGAATGTTGCGTTTATACTTTTGTGAGAATAGAGATCAATACAATGGAACTGAAAATTCGATATCGAGAAAAGATATTCGTTCGTCGCGTAATCTGTAAAGACGACGCGTTTACGAGGAGGGAATCACTTCGTTTGCAGTAAAAGGCGACAACAACGGACCTTCGTGTTTAGGGTGGAATCATTTTCTCTTTTTCTCTTCCTCTTGCTCTCTCTTGGGTAGGGTTCAAGGGCTTCTCCGTAGTGATTCGGATGATGGCGAGAGGGTTCTTTCGCGGAGTACAGGGTGGGCTACAGAGGTGGATAACGTCCCGGATAACGTTCGGATAACACTCGGATAACGGCGGGATAATTGGTAGCGGTGATCAGACCGAGTTTTACGATCGGGGAACATGCTCCCGTCGCCGCGATGGAAACTCCTCTCACTCTACCGGCCCGTCTTTTTCTTACGTCCTTATCCGTGGTCGGCCGCGTCTTTGTTCCGCGTCGAGCGCCGCGGAAAAGATCGCCGGAGGAAAAGTTCGACGAGGGTGGGCCGACTAAACGGTCGAAACATAGAAAGAAAGAGCGAGAGAGATTCGCCTCGTATTTTTACGACTGGCCCCCTCATAAACACTCACTGAGTTACGGGTTGTTTGCTCTGCCGAAACTGGGCTTTAGGGGCGCTTTATCCGCCATTCACCATCCGAACGTATCCACAGAAGTCGCTCTCTGGGATGGCAAGGAATCGCTCTCTTTTTCCCATACTCTTCTTTTCCGCGCTTTCTTTCTCGACGCACGCACTTTTCACGGACTTCTGCAAATGATGGCCCGCAGTTCGTTCTCGAGCTTTTCCACGCGGATAGAAGATGTATCGTGCACCAAAGTGCACTAAACGTTCGAGTGTCTTTGTGAGAATCTTTCCTGCGAGCACCATAAACGTCTCTCGGCCGAGCTTTATTCAAACTCGCAAGTATATGTTGTAAGACAGTCTACCATAGCTGATGGACCACGATACAAAATCAAAATTTTACTTTTTTCCTGTATCTATCGAACGTAATAAATCGGCATTTATTGTACATTAATCGAATATTTTCTGTGCAACCAAGTTAGCGACATTGATAATCGCGATGCGTATGCGCCGTCAACGAATTCGAGCTAAAGAGATATTCGCGAGAATGCTGACGGGTACGAAAGAGAAGGGGGACGGGGGGGGGGTCTCATGGGTATCGAGGGAGACGAAGAGAACAAGAGACGGAGAGAGTGAGGGAGAGAGAGAGAGAGGTTACCCAAACGTCGCCGTCCGCATCGGGTAAAGTGGAAACCCGTGTACGCCAGATTATCATCCCGAGTCAATCCTGATCACAGCTCCATCGCGTCACAAACAGGCGACCCACGACCTTTCCAGCCCTTCCGCCCGCCGATACCGCCGTCTCCGTTTTCTCGCCCGTTCCCTCCACAACCAGGGAAAACCAGTTTCGTCTAACCAGAACGAGCGCACCTTTCGCGCCCGATTGAAATCGATGGCACTTCGCGAGTCCTCTCGTCCCGCTCGATTATCGCGGCCAAAGAATGACACGCGGGATATTTTCGCACGGACGGAAATGGACACGAAAAAAGGAAAAGGATAGAGAGAGAGAGAGAGGAGAGAGAAAAGAAATAGCTATCGTGAAGGTTCGAGTTCGTATATATACCTCGCGACTTGGACCATTTTTCCAATTCCTCGGAGACCAGAACGATGTCCCTTCCCCGCCTGCTCACCATCGACGATCAGCAGTCCATTAAACCTTAATAGCCGAAGCATTAGGCCCCAGGGCAGATTTTGTTCCAACGGAAACGAGATAAATGTATCTTTCAAACCGCTCCCGGTCCCCCGTGATCGGTGACCGTACATGATAAAACCGTTACTCCTCCTTGAAACGATCGCATTTTATACTATCGATCAAAATCATTTCGGACATTTTAGTCTTATCGCGAATTGTTGAATATAAATTTCAATATTGCCTGAAACTTGTTAATATTAAATCCATAATCAAATTTCAAATCTAAATGCTCATTAAAATTCTCCGCCGCTTATTCAGAAGGCAAAGAGATATATATCTCTTATGTGTGAGAGACGCTATAAAACCTTTTATTTTTCTTATCAAATTTCTCATTTCTCCTGAGCGAATCCGCCCATTAATTACGCAGTAGTCCCATAAGCACACCACCGTCTGTCCGCACGTAGTCTCGAACTGCATCGTGACTTTTCTCACGCGAGTCCCGCGAGAAATCGTATTAGGACGGAGTCACGTTAATTCAGAATGCGTCTCGAGACAACGACGACGACGACGACGACGACGACAACAACAAGGTGCACGACTCGCAGGCATGCATATCTTGCTCGGTGCGCTCCTCCGTGTCGAGCTAATGATGCGCGTCGGTCGGATCATCAATCATACTTTCATTACGTGGATCGCAGCTGCTCCATATTGACTCCGCGGTCCGCGGGGCATTATTATTATTCCGAGACGAAAGATGCTCTCTCTCTCTCTCTGTCTCTGGGCGCAGAAATTCTTGCTTATCGCCGATAACGGGCTGCAAGAGCCATCGCGATCGATGAATTTATGTGACTCACCTCGCTCTCTCTCCCTAACGATCGTAACGATCCATATTTGCGTTTCGCGAAGAATGCAGGATCCTCCGCGAGATGTGGATGCGTGGGTAGCACGTGGTGGCTACTTGGTATTTCAATTTAATACTCGCTGCTTGTCCCACATTTCGCAAACACATAAAGTACGCGGACGCCTGCGATTTTCACCGTACGGCTCTCCCGATATACCGATATATTTTGACATCGATGATAAATATATCGCCGACACGTTGAATTACTGATAACAACTTTTGCGATAATCAGTACGCGTGTAAAAGCTACAAGTAACAAAATCCTCGGTTCATATATTTTATCTCGTGGTACAGCGCGTACAATTTTTCTGCGCAGATGTATATAAGAGAGCGAGAACCGGTTTGAAGATTAATGTTGTTTGTCTCTTCTTAATCCGCGTGCGAAATAGAATAAATTTTGCGAATAAATCCGTAGAATATAAATCGGCACTTTAACGCGTCATAAAATTTAGTATTTTAAATCAGGCGCGATTTTCTTTTAGCTAAAGTTTCTCATTAAAGTTTTAATGCAATCCGTTCGAACGGAGTTACGATTGTGTCCCTTATAGTAACGCGGAACGATTCGCTGAAAATTAGTATAAAATTAGTCGTGCGCGCATGAACGCGGGCAGTAAACTTTCGCTAACGTTTTAACGCCGTCGTCGTTCCTAATGCGTCTCATAAAAGCGCGATCCCTTTTAAATCCTCTTCTACCCCTCCATTCAATCATACACCCCGTGTGTCGCGTAGGGCACTCGAACTATAAGCTATAAACCCGCGACGCATCGTTTTACGACGTACAAGCTGTCCCTTTCGCGAGATTCTATTAGCTTTATATCGCGCGGATGAGAGAGGGCCAACACATGGCTGTATTCGAGATATAGAAAAGATACACTCGGGTAATACACTACTGAGAGCTACGGAAAGGATACGGCGCAGGATAATGTATTATCACTGGCATCTCGTAATGAAAATAATTTAATTGAAGAAGTACCGGGTGTGTGTAACTTACCTTACGCATACGTTATGTGACGTGCGAGATCACGTCAGGCGATAATGCTTTTTTTCGTTTCCGGCTTACTAATACGTACGCTTCATTAATCATATTGAATATTACTGTGAAATGTACGATGAAATATGGATTAAGAGATAAAAAATAAAGAGCAAAAATTTTAATTTTCAAATTAAGAGATGCACGAAAAGTTTCACGAATGGAAATAAATTATATTAATTAT